CCCCTACACCCTAACCCTGACGAAAGAAAGAGAGAGAGAGAGAGGCAGCGACTTGAAGCTTAGTTTCACATCCCTCGTTCCCCAAGCCTGAGAGAGACAGAGAGAGGGAGCAAGGGAGAGAGGGGGAGAGAAGCCCTAAGCCCTGAGCCCGAAACCTTATTCCCCAGCATGCCTAAGAACAAATATGCTACAAATTGTGACGAAACCTGTTTGTAACCATTACTGCCCCTATATCAGTTCCCAAGCCTTCAAACCTGGGTGCGGGGTTGTATTCAGAAGGCTTTAGACGTGCTGTCATGATTCATCCCAGCAGCTTGTGATCAGGAATGTGGATTTTGGCAGCATGGAGGCCTCTGGCATGTTTGCAGAGCCAGAAAGTACTCGGATCCTGGAAACCTAGTAGGATGCTATGACGTTTTTTGTCAGCGTTCTTGTTGGTCGCATGTGATGACTTCCATCGTTGTAGCTTGACACAACCCTAAGCCTTCTTCTATTTGAAGACCCCCTGTTGTTCTGCCTGCTTGGCTGTTAACATGAGAACCAGATGATGGGCGCTCAGATTCTGACATTGTAGACTCATCAGCTGCAGAGCGAGCCTCAGCAAGAAGAAGACAGGCCTTTGAAGTTCATTGCAACGGGGGTTTTAGGAGCGTGATTTTGTGTGATATTGGTTCTATCTGTATCTTATACTTGAGATAGCTGCACAGGACAGTCTTTGATGTGCGACCGCCCATGCGAACCTTTAAACCGTACAGCCTAAACGTCTAGAGCCTTAAACCCCACGTGCACTAAACCCCCGGAGGGCCCTAAGCCGGACAGGATCAGATGCTCGCGACTATGAATCGGGCCTTGATGCCTCTGCAGGATCGGACCAAGCGGATCATGGGCTTCGAGTTACTTGGAGTTTAGGGTTAGGAAGGTTGAGGGGTTAGGTCAGGTCCAGGTGTCTTTCTTTTGTTGTTAATGGTCTCGGGTTTCTGGCTTAAGGTTGAGTGGCTAGGGTTTAGGGTTTAAGGATACTGTAAAGGTGGAGGGACTGATTGAAAGCGCGAGGAGGTAGGTGGCCGTGCTTCGCACGTCGAAGTCTCTACTCTGCACTCTGCGTTCTCTGTCTCAGCTCGAAACCCGTAATATAGGGGCCTTAATAATTACATATAGTATTTTGGGGGTTCCCTACTATAATTATAGTATAATGGGCCACAAAGCCCTCTTCTAATTATTAAGGCCCCTTTTGTAAACTTCCCTAAACCCTACACCCGGAACCCCCACGGTGTCTGACACCCCAAACCCTGAGCGCAACCCCACACAACCCGATACCTTAAGCCCTGCTGAAACCCTGTCATTTCGCCTGGTCGAACAGATGAAGTGGCCACTCACAGTGTGAGTCGACACTTCCACTTGCATGCAAACAAACAAGCAGACATACAAACATGCCTACAGCAAATAATGCGCATCTCTTGAATGCAGCTTAAGCTGATTCCTCACACAGACAGTGTGCCTTTGCAGCAGGATCTGGTTCTGTCTCGCTTGCCTCTCGTCTGCACAGCAAGGGTTGGGGCTGCCACGGGGTGACTTGCAACACGGGCATGTGGAAGGCTGATTCAGCCTCTAGGGGATCTCGTTAGTTTAGGGTTTAGGGGGTTTAGGGTTTAGCCTTCCTCTTATCGAGAAAAGCAAGGATCCTTGCTGTAAGCACTCTCCCGAAGGGGGCCAAGCAGTATCATGATTAGCGACTTCAGCCATGTTTGGTTACGACTGCTTGCTTCTCATGTTTGTGTTTATGATTATGATTGTGGTTACTGTGTCTGTGTCTTACTTTCAGTACTGTTGTCGTCACATGGTGGGATTGGAATTGGGTTTTTGGTGTTGTTTTTTTGGGAGTCGGATTTCTTGGGAGAAGGTTCGACGCCCGCCTAGCCAAATGGACATCTGCTATGCAGTGCCTTCGGGTGCTGCCACGCGGGAGCCAAAAAGTGTTCTCAAGACCGTGAAGACAGCACCCATAGGCCCCATACTAGCTCCTGTTTGGGATTCCCTAATAGGGTTCTATATATGAACCCCAAAAAGGAACTACTTTAGGGCCTATGGGTAGGTTCTAGAATTCTCAAGAGGTGATCTCCTGGCGCATGCCAGCCTTTGCCTAGGCAGGCCATGGAGGACAATTTGCAACGGCAGCTGGAGACCACACAGGAGAGCCGCTCTTGTAAGGTTCATGTAGAGTTCATATAGGGCCTGGGTGCGTTAATATTTGGAATCGGGCGCTTGGCGACTACTATAATCTAGTGCTCCGTGGTGTTTTAGGGACCAATCTCCTGACAGCCCGACCAATCTCGAACTTGAACCCTCAACACGAGACCCGATAAACTTTAAAAGGGCCTACAACTTAAGCTTTCCAGCTTCAAGGCCTGATACTTACATCTAGATCCGATATCGCATAGGCTCCAAAATTGGAAACCTCAACAACAAAATGAAGAGAATTGGACTCCAACGTATAGGCCAGAACTGCCCAACATGAAGGCCGGATTCTTCAATCTCCGGTCCCTTACCGTAATTTTTCTTTTCGGGCCCATGCTTGTTAAATGCCAAATCCTAAATCCCAGACACGGTTTTGATGGAAGATTAAGCATAGGTGCCTCGCTGAATGGTTAGTTATACTAGTCCTTAGCGTTCCTTAATACGGTCGCAGTAAAGACAAAATCCTAGTCCTATCAACTATATCTTGCGGTGGACATGTACGGAACAGGGTTGGAAAGCCCAACCCTAGCCTTTTTTGTATAACACATTTTAACCCTTGAAAAAACCCTTGCAGAACCTTAAACACCCTAAACCCTGATTCCCAATCCTAATCCCCAAAACCTTACCAAACCCTACTTAGCTGGGCTTCTCCATGTAGGAAGCGATCTCCCAGCGCATGGATTTCTCGCAGGCCCGGAATTGAACTTGTTCTGCGGTGTTTAAGGTTGTTGGTGGTTTTGGTGTGGTTTTTAGGGTCTGGGGACTGTTTGGGTAGCTGTGGCCATGCCATAGATGTGTCGTGCGCACTCTTTACCGTGTCGACGAAGACGGCTGCGGCGACAGCGGCTTCTACAACTTTCTCTTGTGCTACAGCAACGAAAGAAGGCTTATGCAAGGATAGCAATAACAATGCTGTGGGAAGATGCCCCGATCGTTGCTGTTAGTTATCAATAGTGGTGTCATTGTTGTTGTTGTTGTTGTTGTTGTTGTTGTTGTTGTTGTTGTTGTTGTTGTTGTTGTTGTTTTCCGCAAGTGGTTGCCCAGGACACAAGGTGATGCGGTTTGCTTTTTCAGGTTTTCTTCTTTCGGTTTCCTTACACACGACGCATCGTACCTTCAACCGTACACCCGAAGTGCTTCTATAAGTCCACATATGCTGTAGGGGCATGTGAAAAGTTCTTGTATTCCTCAGCTCTTTTTTCTAGTCCTAGCATAATCGTCTTGCGCACCCCTAATGTACCATTGAAGTTTTGAGCACGAGGGAAAGCTCCGAGACCCAACACCTTGCCAAGCCCGAAAGCTCTATACTGTGATCACACTGTCTCAGATCTTCATAACCCAAAACGCCAAGCTGCCAACTAAATCCCCAAACCCCAAAACCGCAAGCCGTTTACGTAACCTCCTAGTGAAACCCTACATGAGCCCTGATTACAAGATATTATAAGCCTTAGTAGCAGAGTGGTAACCTGTGTTTTTTGAGTATCTATACTCCCAAAGGTTAACCTTTGGTTTCCCTGGGATACTGGACAAGTAAGAAGCCCTCCGATAGGTGTGAGGAAACCCTAAACCCTATCAAACCCTGAAACCTATAAACCCTATAAGCCCTAAACTAGGCTCTAAACCTCATACCGGACTCGGAGGTTGCACTTTTGCAGACCGTGAACGCCTGCCAAGTGCTACTCCACAAGCTGGACTCATCACAGGACGCGAACTTTGGGGCTGGATGGGGTCTGAAAAATCAGCAAGAGTAGTCCTGTACAGTCCCTATAGCTTCATACTATACCGCATTAAATGTAGACATCTATAGTTGGGGTTCAGGGTTCAAGAGTTCTTTCGGGATTGCTCCAAACTCAGGGTCTTTCACGCTTTAGGACTACATAAGCATTCAAAAAACCAACGCAAAGCCGAAATCCTATCCTAAATCCAGCCCTATACGCTAAAACCCTAAACCCTAAACGCTAAACCCCAAACCCCAAACCCTAAACCCTATCCTAAATCCAGCCCTATACCCGAAACCCATATACAGGAGACCGTGATGCAGAAGATGGATTCCCAGAAAGCGACGGTAGACCAGATGGCCAATTGACTTCCTTAGCTTCAGTTTGGGGGTTTCCGAAAATAGGTGACCCTAATATAGTACCCTAAATGATGGGATCCTCATTATAAGGACCCCAGAATAAGGTACCCCTTATTTTCGGAAACTCCCATTTTGGGGCCTCCATCGGTAGAATAGGGTTCCTTTAAAGCGTTGCAGATCGTTGCAGGGACCCGAACCCAAAACCCTAAACCCATAGGGGCCTTAATGGGTGGAACATAGGGTTTTGTGACTAGCACACAAACGTCAGAGGTTTGAGCTATGGGGGTTATTTGAATTGGGGGCTGCCGTGTGTGTGTGTGTGTATAAGTCTTTTACATGGGCATCTGGGAGGGTGGATTTCTTCAAACGGGGTTCCCTTGTTGGAAATCCCGTCAGCAGGCATACGGCTGCTGTAGGGGTGGCTTTTTCGTTGAGATTCCCATCTGCATCATTTTCCAAGCTAAGAGTAAGCCTATGTTTGGCGTCTGGTTTGTGTTTTGTTTTGGGTTTTGAGGGTGCAAGGCTTGGTCGGAGGGGCGGTGGGAGTCTGGTCTGCCCCGCTGGGTATACGGGTTCCGAAACCCCAAACCCTCAACTCAAGACTTAGATGAATAAATCCTGAAGTTTATGAAAACGCTTTCAGAGTTCCTTCGTCTTGTACACCACAGCCACAAGCATGGTAACAACCAAAAGCATTCATGAGGCTGGTCATTGTGATGACTGAACCCAACAAGCGCTTTGCAGTAGTAGAGGGAGCAACTGCAGCAGCAAGACGAAGCAAATTGCAGTTTCCGTTGGTGCTGGGCTTTGCGGTAGGATCCTTTTGTGGGAACGGGCCCAAACAAGGGACCCCGAATTTAACAAACCTCTGCATGAAAGCAGAAACAATAAGGATCAGCTTGCCCGTTCTGCGCCTCACCGCAAACCTTACATGCCTATATAGTCTCAAAGCCCCAGTTGTAGCCGTGCATATCGGTTTTTGCTTGAAATTGACAGTTGAGGTTTGAAGACTCATTTTACTGCAAGTAGGTTGCAGGATAACGGGTGCAATGGATTTCTGGACTGATGATTTTGCTCTTTAGTAGGTTGTCATCGGCTTGTTAAGAGGTTCTGAAGTGTTGTATCTCGCAAACATCAGATATCCCACACGGCGCCCAAATCCCGGACCCTCATTACTTAAAGCCCTGGACCCTAAACCCTGCTTGAACCCTAAGCCACACTTCTATCTTCTGAGGTCAGCTCGTACGCTGGCCTGGTCAAGAACATCGACGGCGCCAGCGACAGCACTAAACAGGCCACCTCAACGGCATATCAAGCATGTCACGCACGTAGGTAGGTGGGTGGGTGGGTGGGTGGGTGGATGGCTAGATAGCCTACCAGGTACGTACTATTAGGTTTTTGCGCAGTATCTCATCCGAAGCCTTAGGCGCTCCATGCTTAAGCCTGTTAGCGGAGATGCCTTCAGGTTTATGTTCGGCACTGGTGTAGGTCGGCTATCGCATCGGGTCAAGCACTGTGGGCCTGGGGTTTAGGGTGTTCAACGCAGGGCATTGAAGACTACTGCCCAGGCATTGTTGGACACCGTGAACACCTCCTCCTCCGCCTTACTGCAGAAGCTGGATGCCACGCAGCAGGACTTGTTCTGCTTATTTCTGGTGTAGTGCTGTGCCGGATGCGTATTTCAGATGGCAGTCATAGCAGCAGTAATAGTCGCGGACGTCGTGGTCGACACCATCGTCGTCGGCGTCGTGGTGATGGCTGTAGTTGTTGTTGTTGCAGTGGTTGTTGGTGGTGGTGGCTGTAGCAGTCACAGCAGTAGCTGTAGCACTAGCCGTATGGATAGGAGATACCAGGAGCACGAGTAAGAGCAGGAGTAGCAGCTCGAATAAGAGTAAAGGAGAGAAGTAATAACAGTTGCAGCGGCAGGAGTAGTAATCGTTGTGGTCTCGCTGCCAGCCTGGAACATCAAACCAGGATCTATTGAAGCAGACGACTGACTCTCACAATGTGCTCCAAACCGTGGCGCAAGCACAGACGTCTTTGGCCAAGAAGGCTGGGAAGCACCCCAAAAGGGAAGGTGCTGTGAGTTTGCGAGTGAGAGGCGTTGAGGATTTAGGGAATTGTTTTCTTGACATTCACTCTTCATGCAGAAACTGATGACCCAGCAAAGAAAATTCTGGGCTCGTCTCAACACTTTCTGGCGGCCCTTAAACCCCAAGCCCGAAACCCCAAAGCC